CGCTGCTCTTCAACGAAGGAAGTAGGCGTTGAAGTCGTTCCTGGCCTGTACATCATTAGAGGTCTGCGCGAACACGATATCTTTGTAACTGTATCCGCTTGTGATATCCAAATCCCATGTTTTGAACACATGTTCGAGAAGCTTTTCAAAGGCAGTTTGTGGCATGGGATGCTGCGTAGCTTATCTGCTACGTTCAGGATCCAAGGAAGAATGATAGTTGGTCGAATTTTGATTTTTTTTTCAATGCTCTTGTTGAAGATACGTGCATATTTGCCTATTTTCTATTCACGTTCCGTTGAAGCAGGCAAATTTTGATGTCCAAAAAGTATTTGGAAAGCAAAAAAATTATGAACAGAAGAAGGAATTCCAGTTCAAGATAATTTTCTTCGCGCAAAATCCCGAGAAATCATAGTCAAATAGATCTCAATGGACTCGACTCCTGTGGAGTTCCGGCTTCCAAGCTGCACATTTATACACCTTCCGTGAACAAAATGAATTGAGTCATGGTCAATCACGATTGGACGTTAGGATGTGTTCCCTGAGCAAGCGGCGCTTGTCACGGTCCAATAGCTCTCATGATCGGCCGCTAATGCGATTTTTGCTGAACGAGCCGCTCCCGTCACAACCTGGACCAATCAGTCCAGGTTGTGACCGCAGTTGAGCGCCTTGTCATTTATAATTGTCACCCTCCAAGAGAAAAAAATACCAGAGGACAAGTGGACGCAAATCTACAGGTGAAAAGGCCCTATTTGGTACCAGCCTGCATCCTAGGCGGAAACCAAGAGAGGAGCGCCAGATGTGAAGAAATAAGAGACCATGTTCATTCCTTCTCGGTTCCCACCGCGTTCCTTTCCATACGCTCTTAAACATGTCACATTTGAGTCAACAGTTCTAAAATTTAAAAAACTAATAATTTTCTATCCTTTAAATCAAAGCTACTTCTAACGCAACAGAGTAAAGGTTATCCAAAGGTAATGTCTTGGAAAAGTTATCCATGCTGCCATTGTCACATTTAGATATTCTGAATCATACCTAAACGTTATGGCAGGTCAAGTAACACCGTATCTTTTAATGAATTGGGACAGGACCTTTCGTTTCAGATATTGCCCTTGAACGTCGAGTAGAATTGAAGCCTTCTACCTTCCGTCGTTTAAGACGAAAGTATTCCTATCTCTATGAGCGAAGTAACAACATTAAACAAATATAGGACTCTTCCCAATACATCTGTCAAGTATCCGTTTCTTCCTGTTCCGTATACTGTACATAACAATATTGGAGAACGGAAACGTCCATTTCATCTGATTACATCCCATTGAATCACCTTGGAAGTAGAACCATCCTCCTAACAACCACCATGCCAGAGTTTTCTGGAGACTCCTTGGACTCTGTTCCCACTTAGACCAGTTCATTAAAGAATTCATGTCTTCCCTTCTTCCCTTGTGGTGCCTGTGTGGAAACGTCATGCACCTTGTGGAAAATGAAAGGGACTAATTCCGACTATATCAGGTTTTGACACGCAATAGCGGCTACTTTGGCGCCATCTGGCCCCGATCGTGCGAACCTATTCTATGCTCCTCTGTGCTAGTAACGTTTCGCGTAAGCATAACCATTATCACGAAGGTCTCCAATCTTATTAAAGTTACGACTGTCTGGTAACTTTCTAGAAACTCTTACATCCATGGGTCCAGAAGACGATAAAAGTTATGAGGCCCTGATAACTTTGAAGCACCATTTATCTTCGAGAGTCACTTCTAAATAAATGTCATATGAAAGTTACACTTTTAAGAGTGTACAGATGTTAATTGTCCCAGCTCTTGCTCCAATCTTGTGCTTCCCGTCCTTCCTTTCGCCAAACCAATCCAGTTACGTTTTGGGGATCAGTTCGGTCTCGATCAAATTCAGTGCCACGAACGGTGGAAATGTTTGAGATAGGTTCATCATCGCTCCTTCGTAATGGGAGCAGCGGCTGCCTGGATGTCTCGTTACGCCCGTGAGCTGTTTAAACCCCAGTTCAGCGTCCACGCGACTGCCGTGCCACAATCTGAGAGAAAACCTTAAGCCTTACAGGGGAGATGAATGGGTACACCTTATTGATTCGAAAAATTTCCTCCTCGGAATTCCACTTGCTTATTGCGCGAAAAAGCAAGCGGAATGCGCGCAATGAGCAGTTGCACGAATCACGCATAACATATACTGTATATTGCTTCAGTCGAAAGCAAGTTTTCTTTCTGGGTGCTACCTATAGGAACAATGGGAATACACCATATTGGAGCGTGCAATTGTGCCTACTTAGTTATTTTTTCCCCCATGCTTCTTCCTCCCCATGTTTCGGAACAATGGGTCAGGAGTGGCTTGTATGTTGAATGAGCGAAGCCCACAGCGATTTGACCTTGAGTAGGTAAAATGGGACAAATAATTTTTGTCTTGTAGGCAGTTTAGAACTGTGATACATAGGCGAATTGGAACTGTGTCCTCGCGAAGTGGTCTGGGTATCATGGGTGTAGGTGGAATGGAGCAACACGTAGGGTTGGGGGGGGGGAGGCGGTCCTTCATGGGGTGTGAAAGCGCGCGGGTTGACCTTCACAGCCCTATTTATATCCCTTCTTTTCCAGATGGCTCTGTCCATTACCGCACCGCTTGTCGATTGTACTGTAGACTAATAACATGCATGAACGGGTCCGGGCTTTCACACAGTGCAGCCGGGATGGATGGACCAGCTTCCTGGTCCTGTTCAAAGCCGGTGTGTATATCTTGGGTGTGTCTCGCATTTCGACGTCAGTCAGTTCTCGAACATATTGGGGGGAAGCAGGTTTCTATCATAGAGGTCTGAAATTCACGATGCTAAAAGGCGATGCGTTGTGTTTCGGCAGGAAGGCAGCATTGGCGTGACCGAAAACTGACGCGACCTGAGACACCATGGACGATATCTATCTGCAAGTTGATCCATCGTTTGAAGAAACCCCCCAGAGGGTTTTCAATGAACTCTCCGAAGGCGATCGCCTCGAACTGACAAACGAGCAATGGGCCTGGCAGGAACAAGTGAGAAGCGACCCGGTGCCCCTCGAGGAGGGAAACCCAGAGCAACCGAGAAGTAGAATCAAACTTTACCATTTTGCCAGATCCTTTTCGAGTTTGGCTCGCCAGTGCATGGCTAAAGCCACGGGCATGGAGGCTGAAGAGACGTGGCAGAGAAGAACAGTTCGAGATCGCCTCTACGGAGACGAAAGAATTCGGTTCAATCCCGTGCTCACAGAAGATGGACACAATTTTTGCCTGGCCGAGGGTCTTGCTCGGCGCCGCTATTGGAGCAGGTACGACCAATTGTATCCGCATTCTCTCATCGAAGAAAAATTCGAACGAGGAGATTCCTTGAATTCCAAGATGTTCGTTTTTCGTCCCAATCCCGAGAGGAATATGCAAGAAATTATCGAAATATGCACCGAAGCGGCAATATATCGTACAACAGTCGAAGGTGATGACAACGGCCCCCAGGAAGGGGATCTCGAGGACCAAGGTTTCCGAGGTTCCATCAAGGTCATCTGCAAACGGTGGACGGTGAAAGTTGGAAAAGATGGGGGGTACACGACCCGAAAATCGGAGCCAGGACAGGCTCCAGATGGCGATTATGGGATCAAGGACGAAGTCCTGGCCGATCCGGTGGCTAATTTGCATATAGGAGGGCCGTTCTGAAAGTTCGTAGCTGCTCTCCTACTGAAAATGGTTTTAGTTTGAAATTTTCACCGCTTCTGTAAATAAACACCCTGAATATCTTTGCACATTTGCGTTCGTCGAAACCAAGAATCAAAGCAGCTGCGTCGATCCACTTCGATGACGTCAAGCTTAGTGTCATAGTAAGCAACTACAACATCTTCGAATATCTAAAATAGGCAACCGTGGAATTTTCCGTTGCACTTGGAATGGAAGGAAAAACCACAAGGGACCAGACCGTGTGAACGAGGAGGATGTGGTCGCATTTGAACGTGTCGACTGGTCAGGAAGCTCAAGAATTTCTCTGCTTCGTGGAGCAAGCGGCGCAACCGGAGCATCGTCGCGGTGCAACAGCAAGCCCCGAAGCCCCCGTTTCGGATGTTGACACCGGACAACTTGAAAGACCGCAGGCAAGCAGGTGCTTGTGAACCGTGCATTCTGAACGGTGGCACGCTCTTCGAGGGGAATGGTGGCGATGCGACGGGAAAAGAAAGTGGTCAACCTTTTCCTTCCTGACACTGCAGTGGCCGGCATTGGATCGGCGGTTGCTCTCTAGGAAATATTCAACTTTTGTTCTGGCGTTTTGTTTCTGGATCAAATTCATAAATCCCTGTTTCACCTCCATTGACTGAATTTTTTGAGCGTGTCATTAAACAATTTCTCACGGACCTCTCTCGGAAATCTGGCAGGGTGTGGGGCACCCAACAGGAAACAACCTTGCGAAGCCCCAAGTGCCGATGCAGAATGTCGAAACAGCAGAGGAACCGATGCTCAAATGATTTTCTCTCTCTGCACAAGTAAGTCGCGGGTCTTCGTCAACATCTGTTGGACCAACTCAATGTTGGTTATCAATTTTTCACATATGAACCCCCCCATTGTGAATTTTCGGGCAAGCAACTGGTAAGATGGATAGGCAAACTGAACAGTGCCAATTGACTGTGCCAATCCAAAATGCCAGCATTGCAGATTCTCCGCCTTTCCAAGGAGAAACGACAATTGGATTTAGATTGGGAGATGAGGAGTTACATTTACTTTTACTGTGGTACGAGATTCGACCAGTCACTTTGCCTTCTGTTTGCATTTCTCTGAGACAGATAAATTTCCAAGAAACCTCAGGGCCTGTGAAAACTGATCACACGGATCCCTTGCAAGTTCTCGTCATCGATTCCTCTTTGACCGAATTTCCTACAAGGGACACCCGTCAGACATGCTTTTACGATGCGATCGAGTAGTTCTTGCGGGAGACGAATCTCCTCCCATTGCGGAAAAGACCGAATGCACGTTCATCAGTACTCTTTTCTAATTATCGAGCAACGGCACAACAGGAACAAGGCAAGTCTGATATGGCCCTTGCCACTGGGAGCGCCGGGGAACGAGGACCGGCAGAGCGAAATCCACAGTCGACGCAACAATCACGCGATCACAGCTTGTCGTTCGGCATCGTCGTCGTGGGACACATCTCCGTTTGGCCTGGACGAAAGAGCGTGGGAAAAACCATTACCGGATGCAAGAAGAGATCATGGTACGAACACGGCAATCACCCGAGCTAAACTAACCATAGTCGTCTTATCTTTTTAGTAGGGCTGTCAATCGATAAAAAAAAACTTAATCGATTAATCGGCCATTTAATCAAATTTTAATCGATCCCTTAGTTCCCCCTTCAATCATGTCCAAGGCGTTGGGAATGATTCTGCTTGTGTTATGTCCAACACCTAGGCGAGTCTCAGGAAGTGACTCAAGACGATGCAGTCGCAAACATAGCAGTTACTATCCACACATGCACTAGTTTATCCTACATATGCCTCATTCCAGTCGGAAAGAAAATAGTTAAAACTTAGCCAGAACAATATATTGGAACTTGTGCGAAGAAACCCATTGAGGCTCTTTCCCATTCAGCCATCCCATAACGGAAGGATGAAAAATGTAACCTAAATTATCGGTATACAGTGACACTTCATTAAGCGGAGATTTAAAGTTTCATTTACGATTCACAGGCAACACAGGATGGAAGAGCAAAAATAGAAGCAAGCGAGGAAAAGGAGAGGGTGTTTCCACTTCTCTCGCCTGCCCCCTGCTTCCCCCCTCTCGGTTAATATCCCGGGGCTTCCACAGACGTTCGCCGGGGCACTCCCGAGTTCGTCTCTCGCTTCCCAGTCTTTACATCGTTCTCATTCCTGCCTCTCCTGTGCCATGTCCCTGCCCGACTCCCCTCTTAATTTTGTGCCTTCCCTTGCAGCTTCTTCATGACGACTTTCGTCTACCCGCTCGCATACAGACTTTGTTTTTGTGTGTTCTCTTTTTCCCAATGCAGTATGCTGTTTTTGAGGAAGAGTGAGCAGTGCGAAAACGACTACCTTCTATACGCCATCGTTACATTTCATTGAATGATAAAACATTCGTTTTCGGTTGTTTTGCAAAACTACGAACTACAAAGCAAAATTATACGGGGGAAAAGAGGCATTCAGGGGGAGATTAGGGAGTCGATTACAATTCCATCAATTTCGAATAATTTTTTAATCGCGATCAATACTTCAGTCACTAGTCGAATTGACAGCTCGACTTTTTTTTATAGGTATATTATCCTTTACTTCAATTCCTGAAATCTGACAAGTTCTTTGCAACTTAATTGAGAAACCTTAATCCGAGAAAAAGGTGAGAGGTGCTCCTCCCACATACAGCCCATAATGCAGCCCCACCTACCCAAACTATACATGCACATTTAATGATCGGTATCATCATATAAATTTTCCTACGTATGTTGCAACTTCACTTAACATAACTATTAGGCTTTCATATTCGAACTTCTTCATCTCCTTTGACAAACCGTCTCCGCCTGTACTTCATGTTGCATCCTCAGCCATGCCAATCCTCAGCCATGCCCAATACAAAGTCATGCCAATCCTCAGCCATGCCCAATACAAAATCATGCCAATCCTCAGCCACGCCCAATACAAAGCCATGCCAATTTTTGAAGAAGTTCCTGAAGGTGAAGGAATTCACCACTCCACTTAACATCCACTGTGATAAGAAATTACGCACTTTTATCGGAGCATGTGAGCCATACTTTGAAGCGTCTCTAAGTGATATTGCCATCCCAGAGATTCATATGTGTAACTCAATGTCCCATGAAGTACTTTAATGTCGTCCCTGTGAGAGTCCCAATGGAATGTCTGAATGCAATACTTTGTTGGGAAACGCACACTCTTGATTTTTCAAAATGATGTAGAATGGCATTTGGAATTTTTCTCAATAGAAAATAGAGAGAGAATAAAATTCCAACGAGAACGAGTGCTGTCCTGCATGAAACTGAGGCAATTTAAATTAATGTGCATCCAAGATGCTGAAACATGCAACTGAAAGCAATTCACTACAGCAATGTTGCCGGATGAGGAAAAAAGATCAAATTTTCATAACCAGAGCCACTCTCCATTTCCCTGTCCACCCCTTTCTGTGTGCCATGTGTACGGTAGGGCGAAACCATCAGACCATTAGATGCCCCCGAAATTTGGTCCTCAAAATGTCAACAAATGAAGGAATGAAACTCACTGCTGAGAGGCATCGCCATTGCTCTGCACAGTTATCACAGGTGGAAGACCTAGTTTCTTCCTCAGCTTATTTTTCTGCAAAGAGAAAAATTTCCTTAGCTCTATAACCTTAATGTCACCGATGGGAAAGTCGTGAAGCCGGCATGAACTCGAAGCCACTCACGAGACCGGATTCCTTGATCTTGGTGATGGCCCCTGGCCCAGAGGTCTTCCTCGGGTCTTGCCTTCCGAGCTGAGACAGCTTCTTCTGCTGCAAGAT